TCCTGTCTGGCCTGCATGGTTTCTGTTGAGAAGTCAGCTGACAATCATATAGGTGGTCCTTTATAGGTAACTACCTTCTTTGCTCTTGCTGCTTTTAATATTCTCTCTTTGTCTTTTGCTCTTGGAATTTTAATTATGATGTGTCTTGGTGTGGTCCTCTTTGGATTTCTTTTGTTTGGTGTTCTGTGTGCTTCCTGGACTTGTAAGTCCAATTCTTTCCCCAAGTGGGGGAAGTTTTCTGTCACTATTTCTTTCAATATGTTTTCAATATCTTGCTCTCTCTCATCTTCTGGGACCCCCATAATTCTGATGTTGGTTTGCTTGAAGTTGTCCCAGAGGTTTCTTACATTATCTTCAATTTTCTGGATTCTCTTGCCTTCTAGCTTCAGTGGAGGAGTGTCTTCTGGCTCTTTATGTTCCAAATCTTTGACTTGATTCTTGCGATCTTCCATTCTGTTTTTAGGACTCTGTATAATATTTTTTATTTCAGACAATGTATTCTTTATTTCTTGTTGATCCCTTATCATTTCTTGTTGACTCCTTATTAATGCTAGTTGATCTCTTTTCATATCCTCATAGGTCTTATCCATCTTTTCTAGGAAATTCTTGAAAAACCTTATAAGCGTAGATTTGAACTCTATATCCAGCCGCTTTTTGTCCTCCATTTCTTTCATTTGTGATCTATTTCGTTGTCGCATTTTGCAGCTACAGATGGGGCGGGGTTTCAGGGTGGAGCCTGCAGCCTTGACCTCCGTCAGCCCCTCCCTATGCGGGTCTTTCAGTACTCGCTGCAAAGCGCATCTGAGAGAAAGGTGCCCTCGATTTTCGCCTGCTGCCAAACAGTCTATGCTCTCCCCCAATGAACCTGGTATTGGGGTTCAGTTCAGTTGGAAGTGGAGTTGGAGGTGGCGTTCAGAGCAGTCTGGCGCCCCTGTCTCCTTACCAGCCAGGGCAATCCCGTGGCACAGCTGGCTGTCCCTTCTCTATGTGCACTGTGCGCGCCGCTGGGACCCCCTTTCGCCACTCCCCCGGGGTTCCGCCTCGCAGCCCAGCTCCCTCTGTGTGAGCCTGGATCCCCGGGGTCTGGCCTAGGCCTGGGGTTCAGAGCAGTCAGAATGGGGCCCAGCACATTCGGAGTTTTATCTCCTTCCCGTGTCTTGGGCTTTTCCAGCTCCTCTGCACTTCCTTCTGGTTTTCTCCTTGCTTCTCGCTGTAGAATTTCCAGTCAGTCAACTTTCCTATAGTTCTGGGTAATGTCCGTTTTATATTTTAGTTGTATTTTATTGAAATTGTGTACGGCTGCGGTGTTTACCTGGGTGCAGCCATCTTGGATCCTCTTTATTGATTCTCTGTGTACATATTTTAACATTGAGTGTTTACTTTCTTGATCCTTTAGCTCAGTGGTTCTCAACCAAGGATGATTTTACCTTATAGGGTCATTGGCACTGTCAAGAGATATTTTCGGCTGTCACAAATGGGGGTTGGGAGCATGATGCTACTGTTATCTAGTGAGTTGAGGCTCAAGATGCTGCTAAACATTCTATAACGCACAAGGCAGACAAAGAATTATCTGGCCCAAAACATCAGAAGTCATTAGGACCACGGCTGAGAAACCTTGCTTTAGCTAAATATAAAATAAGTCACTGCAGGCCCAAGATGACTATAAGTCTTAGGGTTAATAACACATGTGATATTTTCTACACATATTTTATTTCATGCACACTAACACATCAGATGGCAAACATTATTCTAGTTCAACAGTTTTCACCATCAGAATATTTTGCTTGCACAAAATAATATTAATGTATAGTGTAATTGAAAAAAATTGAAAAAACAAAACAATTATCTTGCCTGCTTCTCATAGTTTTGTATTGAGCTTGAACCTTTTTATTCAAAAAAAACTTATCATTTTGAATTTCAATTATTTAAAATACCCACCATTAACACCAGCTACTTTTTTGGAAGACTCAAACTCCTGAGTAAGATTTTTTTTTTTTCTAGTATGACTTTGTAAAAAATAGGAAGGACGGAAAAGATAAGAGAGGAAAGAAAATAAGAAAAGAGAAATGGAAGAGAGGGTTTGGAATACTACAATCACTCAAGTTAACAAATTTAACACAGAAATTGTATAATTCTTACTGTATTTTATGTAACTTGCGGTATCTACCCTACACAAGCCTCATTCACAGAACTAGTGTCAATCCACACACATGAACTAAGTGGGCCAAAGGGAACCCACATTCCTGATCACAGACCATTGGGCTAAGATGGAACTGCTCATGCACAGGCTGGCCATGATATCAGTAGCCTGGAAGGAAAAAGTAATCTGATCTATTCAGATTTCTCTCTTGGGAATCTCAACTAGGAGACACCATTCCCAACAGGAAAAAAGTAATCATTCGGAAAGCAGTTGCCATGTTTACGCTGAGCACTGGAGAAACAGGAGAATGCTCCCAAAATCCTTACAATAAAACACTCTACATCTCACTTAGCTTGAGAACACACTAAAAAAAGCATTAACTGCATGTAAAACTGGTGAATTTTGATTAATGCCTTTGGCTGTATCAATGTCAATTCCTGTCTTTATTCCTCCAATGTCCTTATCTATCTTTGTTCCTCCAATACATCCCTATAAACTAGAAAAATGCTTGCTCCAATAGGCACTCCATTATTTATTAAAAGAATGAACGTGCTACCAAAGAAAATTCGTTGAATGTCTGTGTGTCAGATCATCTATATATCATCCAGTTCCATCCTCATAACAACCCTACTAGATAGATACTAGTTCACACTTGAAATTAAGGCTTTGGGATTTGCCACAACCAGTATTCCACACAAGCATCAGAAGAAGGAATCAAATGAGGCATGATAACTTCAAATCAATTGAACTTAGCCCACTTCTGAGGCTATGGTCACACTTCTACTCCTACATTCCATTGAAAATGCTCATTGTCCTGTATTTGGGAAATCATCCAATTTAATATGCTGGAAATTCATTTCATTTTAGTTTCTAGAGATAAAATCCAAACCAGATAGAATTTCTGATGCTTAAAATAGAAGTATTTGGAGAGATCTTTGGATTTAAAATTACATTTGTGATTTCATCTCATCACAGAATCAGGAGATTGAATAAAACCTCTGGGGACCAACAACTAACCACCACAATTCAAGCATTCCAAATATGCAGGGTGTTTGAGATCAAAAGCTAATTTCATTTAAAATGCATGTAATTAATCCAAGAAATGACGATTTAAAGTCTAAGTGTTAAACTAAGAATAGCTCAAGCCATTGGAGAAGACAGAAAATACTTGCAATACAATCCGAGCTTTTAATTTTCACAAAAGTTATTTTAATATAAAATCTATTTAGTTTATTAAACTTAATATTCTTTTTTAAATATATTTTTAATTGATTTTTTTTACAGAGAGGAAAGGAGGGAGATAGAGAGTTAGAAACATCAATGAGAGAGAAACATCAATCAGCTGCCTCCTGCACACCCACTATTGGGGATGTGCCCGAAACGAAGGTACATGTTCTTGACCAGAATCAAACCTGGGACCTTTCAGTCTGCAGGCTGACACTCTATCCACTGAACCAGACCGGTTAGAACTAAACAAAATAGTCTTCTTAGAAAGATTTCCAAAACCAAATTTATTTAATTTATTCCTTAATACCTTGCAATGCACTCTATTACTAGAATTCATATATATATATTCATATATTGCAATACATTCATATGTTGCTAGACAAATATTTTCTAGTAAAAAGAGTCTGAATAATTCATTTCTGTCAAAATTATGATGAGATTTTCTTTTAGCTATTTTTTAAATTAAACTTATTGGGGTGAAATTGGTTAATAAAATTATACAGGTTTCAAGTATATAAGTCTATGATACGTGATCTGTATATTATATTGTATGTCCACCATCCAAAGCCAAATTTTCTTCCATCACCGTATATTTGACCCTTTTTCTGCTTTACCACCTCCTCAACTCCCTGACTTCATTTTTATGACAACTGAAAACCCAAACATTTTGGTACCGGTAAGTTTAATTTTTCATGCCTTTAACATCTGCATACATATCATAGCCAAACAGAAGGTTTCTGAGAATATTATAAACACAACTTAACTATTCCAAAGAGAATATTTTTTTTCCCTTTACATTCTAATTGTTAGCTCTTAAACTTAGTGTTTTGTGAAGTTAAATTTTTTAACAGAATTCTGTCATCAACCTTGATTTTTAGGTATTGCTAACATTTTCAATATTATCCATCATTTGCATTTTAATTATAAATTATTTATTTTCAAAGACATGGCCCCACCTTATTATTGGACTCTTCAGTGTCTTGACCCACCAAAATATTTATAAAATGATAGTGTGGAGTATTTTTCATATGCAAAATTCTAAATTTAAAGCTAAAAATCTAGAAAATCATCCATAGTCATTTTATGAATAATTTTTCTGAGAAAAGAAAAAAGACATGTCCAACATCACACATGATGTTGGAAGAAAACCTATTACATAAAGTAAATGAGCCAGGAGGTCTCGAGCATTTTACAAATAAACTCCAAGACCTGTGTGCTGGGTGAGGGTAATGCATAACCAGGAAGTACCAAAAAATGGAACAAAGAGTAAACACTGGACAGTTTCCTTAAACTGTGGTCAACTAGCAAACAATGTCTGCAAGCTAAGCTTCAAAGGAATGTGATCACAAACAAATGCAATTTGTAGAAGAAATAAACCAAGAAAAGAGATATATGAGTTTTGAGGGCACAAAAATCAAAACAAACAAAAAATAAATAAAATAAAATTTTCCAGCTGAAGGGAAACAGAGACGTACTAAAGGTGTAAGGAGAACATCACAAAACATGCTTTTTTTGAGAAAAAAAAAATCCCAAACCTAATTTCTATAATAATTCCAGATAAGAGAACCTATGTCTATATTTTCACATTTCAAAAAACAAAGAAATCTAATTTTGAAGACAATTTATTACTTACCAAACCTGCTATTGGTGTGGACAGTCTATTGATCTTCTTTATGACACCAGGTTTAAGCTTATTAATCAAACTGAAAGTGAATAAAGAAACAAGATATACAATTACAAGAGTGCCAATATCAATTTAATGTTCTTTTTAACATTCTCAAAAATTGTATATGTCACTATTCCATCCCCAATATGTTTTTCAGAGCTAAGGGTCCCGCAGAAAGCAAACAACTGAGAAAACAATTCCAGAAAGAGTCAGAACAGTGCTGCAAACAATGGTGAGTGGTCCTCTTAGACCAGAGACATACTTCTCTATCCAAAGCCAAGTTTTTAAAATAGTGAGTTCCCCATCTATTAAAGAAAGATAATATCTCATTATTGCAAACTGCCAGTTTAAGAATCTCTTCATTATAATTTTATTCACTTGGTCCTTAGAATACTTTCCCTATTAATCATTTTCATTGATTCTTTTCTCAAACCAATCCTTTTTTTTATTTTATGTGAAGATTGACAGTACTATTTATTCCAATTTTCCCTTTTATATGAAGAATAAAAAATGAATTAATGCAACTATAAATAATAATATTCATAGGTTCTTCTTAGAGTTCAATATACAATATACATATATAGCTATATTTTTGTGTAGACATTTGAATGTCTGAATGTAAACAGATCTCTATTTTAAAAGTTAGTTTCAAGGCTATATACTATTTCACCATATTTAAAGGGTGCAGTGGGAACTCATCCTCATAGCCAACTAGTTCTTATGGGGTTTTCATTCAAGTCCATGATTGATTGCTTTGTTACCATAGCAAAATGACTGAAGGAAAAATTAAATTAAATGTACCAGAACTCCCCAAAATAGCCTGAGAGTTACCTCAAAATCTAACATTGAACAAATTTAAGTTGCTATGACAATATATATGTCGCCACACTCTAGAATACCAAAATAGAACACAGCTTTGATACTTGGGAGTACACTTTTTGGTTCTAAATCTAGATTACTGTGAATTCTATTTTTTCGTGGTTCACTAGTATAGTGCCAGGCCACAGAGAAATTTAATTCTAAAACAATGCTTCTCTATTCATTCTATTAGCATGGTTAATTAATCATTAATTACTGCCATAAAGCAGTAACTTAAAACACTGACTTTCTACCCACAAAAAATAAATAAAAATTATTTATTCTGTAACTGAGCTCCACTAGGAAAGCAAAGAAAAGAGAAAGAATCAAACATTATTAATTCACTGGTCTCCTCTCCACAATGAACGACAGAAGAAAAAAAAATCTGACACTTGTGGAATGTCACTCGTTCAACATTCCAGAGATTTATATACACACTTGAGTGTGCTAAAAATAAAAAAGACAAAAGTCTCAATTTAATAACCTTCAGAATGTCGTTCAACTGGATTCAAAAGGGTGGATTATGAAGACTTAGTCTGGTGAACAAAAGATGTTTTTCTGTTTTCATAGTTTCTTGACACCAAGATCTTTAGAAGATTTAATAAAACCACCTCCTAGACTTTAAGCATTTTCTAGAAGTGTTAACATCTTCATTCCTAATTTATTTACTTTAATATATTTTATTGATTTTTTACAGAGAGGAAGGGAGAGAGATAAGAGTCAGAAACATCGATGGGAGAGAAAATTGATCAGCTGCCTCCTGCACACCTCCTACTGGAGATATGCCCACAACCAAGGTATATGCCTTTAACTGGAATTGAAACTGGGACCTTTCAGTCTACAGGCCGACGCTCTATCCATTGAGCCAAACCAGCTAGAGCCCTTAATTTCTTTATTTATTCACTAAAAGCAATGTGGAAAAGAAGGCTTTCTCTTTTCATGGCCACTTTAGCTTTCTTTAATGACTAGCTAAGAGGCTAGACAAGAATTGAACAGGTTTATAAGAAATCAGAGTTCCAAATTAACTGTTCTAGCTGTTCCCTATCAACCAAGTATTTCTAAATTCTATTAAAGGTGGCATTCTTACAGTGCACAGAAGAAGTAATAACTGAAACATTACTTAATAGGAACATATTCTGGCACAATGTAAGTCAAGAAACCTGTGGCAGTCGACCACTAGCTTGGCAGTAACTTTCCAACAGTTAACTTGGATCTTAAAATATAACCTTTCATTGACATTAAATGTTGAAAATCAATATGAGATAGGGCAACATATAGATGGAATGTCAGGGAAGTCTAACATTCATTGTCCTTGTTGGAGGAAGAGAGTCATACATCCCTCCTCCACCCATCTGAGTCACTGGGGACTTTGTCCAGATCATTCCATTTACCTGTTTACTTCACTGATTATTTTTGTATTACAGTGTTAGTAATATCAAGAGCACTTTTTAAAAAGACAGTTTCTGGGATGGATAATACTCTCAATTAAGTCAGCCAGAGGAGGAAGTAAGGGATTGAGGTAAAGAAACCAGCCGGATAAATGTTGTCTCCCTGATTTGAGCTGACTCCTCCCTCACCAGAAGGTTCCAGAGCTATTACTTAGAAACAACAAATGCACAGTGGACCGGAGCCCCTCTCCACTCCTGAGCTTCCTAATACAGGTACAAACTCAGAAATAGCCATGGGGACAAACCTACACTCTGGATAATACACAGACCACCCTCTAAAGAATGTATCACCAGAGAAAAAGGCTGTTCTATCTGTCAACTGTTAAAACTATATCAGTTCTAGGCATTAGAATATAAAGAAAATGAAGTTTGGGCAAATACTGACCATCCATAAAGAATTATTTTCATATGCAATTAAAGGAAGACCTTCTAGGAATAAAAATAGGTTGCATTAAGTATATCTAAAGGAATGGGGCATAGTCTTATGTCCAATAAAATACAAGTATCATGCAAGAGAAATACTGTTCTCTTTTGCAAATAAAACTTCTTTGTATAATAACTGTTCTTCAATTATATATGTTCCCAAAGGCAATACTGACTTCAGGTGACTGGCTCTACTCAAGAATGAGCTAACATGAAAACCTCCCAGATTCCTCTGAGCACAAGGGACCATTTCCTCCTCTTGCATCCCCATATCCCATTCCTCTAGCCCCATGTAAACATTACATAGCCACCCCAGCACACCTTCTCTCAGGCCATGGCAGGAACCTGGTGATATGCTCTGATAGCCCTCAGAGGTCTGCTCTTTGGTGAGATTAAAACCAGAACAGAAAATGCTGAGTCATCTGGTACCCCACACTAGAAGGCCCTCACAATTCGGCCTACAAACTTCTCCTTAAGCTCATCTTTCCAGTTGTAGTCTACTTCCTTTTCCTCTCTTCACCAAAACACTCCTCCAACAGAGTTCAGTTGCACAACAGACGCTAGAAAAGGGCTCTGTTCCAAACCCTTGTCACCAGTGACTGTGACATGACCTTAATGAAACTCAGAAGTGAGATGCAGAGCTGCCCATGAAGCTCAATGTTATGTCCAGCTCAGTTGTGGCTTTTAATCAGAATTTGATGCTCGGTCTGCTGGTCTCCGAAAATTAGTTTCAAATGCCAAACTACATTTCCCCCTTATCAGGAAGCTCTTCAGCAGAGGTGCAAAATGTAGAGAATCTTTTGACTTCCTATTTCAAGGATTTTCCAAATGCACCAGAGAGATTAACATCAAAGAGCACATCAATCCACTAAGAATGAAATTTTAAACTATAAATTATTTGATTAGTCACTCACATATTACTAATATCTTTCTGTCAGCCATGTTTTTTAAAATATATGCCCAACCAAACATTTCCTATTGGTAACTAAAATTTTTAAAGGTATAATTAAGATTTTTAAAGGTATATTAAATGTTTACAATATTTGTTTTACCTATTATTTGACATTTTCTCATTTGCCTTCTAGTGGCAAAATTTGCTCAACAAGCATTTGAATGCTTCCAAAAGATTCTAGAGCACTTTTTTTGTGATCAGCCACAGAGCAGCCAGACAATAATGGTGCTAAGCACACCGAGGACTATTCTCTCAATCCAAACCTCCTTGCATTGAGCAAGGTACCTGGCATTGAGTGGGTGATTTAAAATACTGGCCAAACTCCACTAACTTCTGATGCATAAATTTTTCTGTTAATAATTCAAAACCTCTCTTTTTTATAGAAATAACTTTAATAAAAAGTTTACCGTCAGTTTCACTCAAATGCTAGAAATGGTTTTTGGCTTCTCCCACCCAACAAGGACACCTCTTATTTTTCTGTTGGCACAGAAAATCAGTGTTCTCTCCTAATTGCCAAATGTTGGTCAAGAGAGTAAACTCTTAATCAGATATATTAATTGTAATGGTTATCTTTTTTTTATTATGTAAGCTGCTTTTTACTTTGTTTGTCCACAAAAATAATTTACATCTGTAGCATAAATTTTCCTGACTGCATATAGTCCCTTCTATGGATGAATCAGAATGTACATTAAAATATTCTATAACTGTTTGACTGATTATCTTAAATAAATTCCTTACTAAGATTTTAACTTAATTACTTCCATCTAAATTCTTAAGCTGTAATATTTTTTAAATAATATTGTTGGGGGAGGCCCTGGCTGGTGTGACTCAGTTGGTTGGAGCATCATCCCATGCACCAAAAGGCAGCAGACCCTGGTTAGAGTGTTGGTCACGGCTTAGATTCCCAGTCAAGGGCACACATCCCCCTTGATGTTTCTTTCTCTCTCTCTCCCTCTCTATCTCCCTTCTTTCCTTAATGAAACTGCCATTCACATAATCAATTTAACCTGTTTTCCTATCATGTTTTAATTTAAACAAGGAGTTGGCAAAGTTTTTCTATAAAGAACCAGGGTAAATAATGTACCCTGTTTCCCCAAAAATAAGACAGTGTCTTATATTAATTTTTTTTCCCAAAGTTGCACTAGGTCTTATTTTCAGGGGATGTCTTATTTTGGGAGAAAACACGGGTAGATATTTAGGTTGTTTTCAATATTTTCCTTTGTGAAAATGCTTTATACATATCTTTTCCCCATTTTGTAGTATTTTCTTAGATTCCCAAAAGAACCATTATTGGGAAGTCTTGTCATTTTTATAATAAATAAAGATAGGTTTATATGAATAAATAAATTAGTTATT